TTTGCAGGGGCATCATCGGCGTTGATTGGATCTATCTCCGTCGTAGGCCTTTTATCACCCATGACACGTCGTGTTGACGCGGGTGTGGAGTTTTCAACTCGTTGAACGAGTTTGGCAGAGACAGAGTCCAGTCCTTCAGAGAAGAGGTTGTTTGATGAATTTTGGTCAAATGAGAGGAATTTCTTCGGCACTCCAGTAACAGTTGGAGATTTAGTCTCCTTGGAGACTTTGTGGATCTTGCGCATAGCCTTGGGGCTAAGGGATCCGGAGGAGATAGCCTCCTCAAACTTGGCTTGATCAAACTCTACCACGAGAGTTTCGACGGTTGTTCAAGTGAGATGAACATCGAATTGCACCACCACTTCTTCATCAGAGCAGCTTGTCCCCAGCAGAGTCGCTATCTTTTGTTGGTGGAAAAATTTGATGTAAAAAAAATAAAAGAAAATTTGATTTGTATTCTCTCAAAATCGATTACAATTTGGATTCTGATTACAAAAGAGAGGAGAATGAATTGGATTCTCCCCTTTGTTTAAAACTGGGTTCTTCATGGTGGCGATGAAGTGCCTCCCTCGAATACTCGTGTCGAGTTTGCTCTCCGTTGATCCGAATATCTTGATTCACTGGAACAATATCTTCTCCTTACGATTTGACGTTGTGGAGAACTTGCGTGGCAAGTTTGAAACTCTGGACGAGTTGATAACTCTGGACGAGTTGGAAACTCTTGAAAAAGAGTTGATTTGAACCAATGATCGGTTCTCAAGCCAAAGCCGAAGGCTTCAAGGAATGCTCCAAAGGATGAATGTTGATCTCTCAATCTATGATGCTCCAAGATCTCCCCCTTTGCTGCCAAGTCCCAAATTCAAAAAGCCAGCCCGAACTCCATTGAGTTTACCCATATTTATAGGGAATTAAGGGGTGTAACCGCCCCCCTTAATTATCTCCATAATGGGGTTGAGAAGGATGTAACCGCCCCCTTAATCCGCTCCTAAGTGGGACGAAAATCCCTCAAATCGTGAAGGGAAAACGTTTCCTGCAACCGTTCAGCTCGTGTTTGAACAAGTCAAACGCCCACGTTGGCGTTCAGGACCCTAACTCCGCGTTTTAGAATGGAGACGCGGAGTTAGGTACTCGCTGGGTGTTGAAAAACGCGAGGGCCGCCCGCGTTTGGTTTGCTGAGGATTGGAAACGCGGGGATCGCCTGCGTTTTGCTTGTTGAAGTTTGGAAACACTGAGGTCGCCTACGTTTCAAGAATTGAAACGCGGAGATGACTTCCGTGTTTAGAAGGGGCTAGTTGACTTGTAGCCTCTTCTGTAGAGCGTTGTAAAGACCATTGTTGAATGATATTCGTCTTGGCTCCTTGAAAATATGAGAGTTATCAGATTGTAACTCCCGATGTTGATTGTGAAGGCTGTTGAACTGGAGCTTTCATCGGTTGTGAAGGTCGTTAGATTGTAACCTTCATTGATCTTCGTGAAAGTCTTCGAATTATAGCCTTCTGGAAGTCGTCAGATCGTAACTTCCATCATCGGTGTTTGATGGAGGATCAGCTATCTGTTTTGATTTTTAGACAGCCTACAGATATTTATGAACTTTTCCAACTCTTGACTAATTAATGACAATATTTATATTATCGATTTGGTCATAGTTCTATTCTCAATATTGATTGATTAAACAGTTCACAATGTTATTAGCAGTCCACTGATATAAGCTTGATCCTAGCCTATTATTTCTGAGAGTTCTTTCGCCTTACCCCCCACCCACTTATATATATTCACCCAAACTGCAGTGAATTTTGATAATATTTTAGATGGTGAATTTACAATGCAATCTAACTAATGATTTGAGATGCAGGAAAGTATCTGATGGCAGATTAAGATGCAGGTATACTATATTGAAGATTGCAAGCTTCTGCAGCTAACTCGACGGAGTCGAGTTTTCTCCCACCCGGGGAGAATGATGAGGACAAGAATGACAGCTTCCCAAATTTGTTATTTGACTTTTTTTAAATTTTCAGTTTTAGTAGTTTGAATTCGAAATTTGAATTGTAGTCTAAATTTAGTAGTTATTCAGTTTTGGTATCTAATTGATTTGGAGAGATTTGAGTGATTTTAGAAGATTTCCAAACTGTATTTTCTTTTCTTTATAAGGGAGTGTTGTAATCAGATTGAAGGATTGAAGATGAATAAAAAAAATTTGCTGTGTTTGCAAAGTTTTGGTGCGGGTGTGAAACCTAAACCTAATCTTCACTATTTGTTAATTCTCAACTGCAATTCTCTCTCTCCCCCCTCCAAGTCAATCAACCACTGTTCATCTTCATCTCTATTCTCCTTCAACTCAGAACCCAACAACCAGAACCCACCTCCTCTCACAAAACCGCTCCAGCAACCTTCTCCTCTTCACAAACTGCCGAAACCCCTCGGCTTCTCCCCCTGCCCCATCCGCGTTTCTTCTCTGCTCCTCTCCTGCTCCTCTCGACAACAAGCAGCCGTCGTCAACCACCAACTCCGCCTCCACCTTCGACCCACAGGCAGAGATCTCTGATCTCCTCTGCCTCGAACAAGCCGTCAAGAGCCCTGCTCCCCTCCACCCCGAACACCCCGACGCTACCACCGCCTCATCCCGACGTCACTGCTATCGCCCGTTCACCGCGTCGACCTGTCCGCCCATGCCCCAGTCACCATCGTCGTCGTTCCGTCGCCATCTCACCGGACGCGCCACCGCCCTTCCTCACCCTCGACGTCGCTAACCCTCTCTTCAGATCAAAGAAACGTCGAAGAGCTTTGCGGATCTGAACTGGTTTTATCCGACCCATTTTATTTCGATCTGATTTGGATCAGACTGATCCATGTGGACTTGATTGAGTCGATGGGCTTTGGGCTTCACTTCACTATAGAAGCTAATGGATTTTGGAGTTCTCTCAGGATTTTGGATAGTAAACTCTCAACTCATTAATTTTCTGTTAATCTCATAATTATCAGTTAATTGCATGCGTATTAAATCTCTAAACTATTATCATATATTCACTGCTTAATCTATTTTCGTGAGTTGAGAGAACGGAACATGTGACTGTTAATTTTGATATTGATTTTAGAACTTACGAAAATGATAATTGATATTGTGAATAAATTATTCAAGATTGGAATGGTTTATGGTTATCATTGAAAATCTTGTTAAAACCCATCTGTCGCATTAACTGTTTTATTTAATTTCCTACCGAATATTATGAATTTTGGCGAAACGTTGTATTATTCGAATTAAATCGCTGATTCTGATAGACCCCATGTACCGTTTCGCATCACTAATACTCTCGTGTGTTTAGTGGCCGCTAATTGGCCACTAAACAAAACCAAAAAAAACCCACGGCACTACTAGTCCTGTGGGTTTTCTCTTCACATATACAAAATTCCCATTTTTGCAACCGTTCCATTTTCAAATCACCTCTATTCTATCTGCATCCAAATATAAGCTAACACCTGTCAACAATTCTAAACATAATCAAAGTTTCATTCATTACAAAAACAAAGTCACCTAGCTCGCCATTGTATTCGAGGCAAATCCTACAGCAAGCAACAGAACCCGACTCGATCTCCTCATCTTTTATCTCGCTCGTGCTCCCATCCGCTGAATCAAGCAACTTCTCCTTCTCGCAGAGCGGATCCGAATCATCCAAACGCTCCAATTCCCCCTCATCTTTTGTATTTGTGAAGAGAAAACCCACGGGACTAGTAGTCCCATTGGTTTTATGAGTTTAGTTTAGTGGCTGGCCACTAAACACACGGGACTACTAGTCCCGTGTGTTTCAAAATCCAAATTCAACAAAACCAACAAAACCAACCTCTTTTTGACTAGCCTTGATGAGCTGGCCAAAAAGAGGTCGGTTTTGCTAAATATTTAGCAAAACAGTCAGTTTTGCTAAATATTTTTTAAAATCGGCCTATTTCAAAAATTTATCCTATGAAGAATCGTCAAATTCTTAATCCTACTACAAGATCAGCCTCCCCCCCCCACCCACCCTTTAAAGAGTAAATTAAGTGTGCAATAAATGCTTTATTGTTGTCGTATACAGGAAGTAGAGTCATGACTAGTTAGTCATTAGTGTTCAGGTCTAGATTATAAGGCATTATTTGCTTTTATTTATCTTTTCCGTACAACTTTGTGTTATGTTTAAACTTTAAACTGAAAGCTTTGTTATAGTGTCAAAAATAAACAATATATATTCAGTTTCCATATTATATTTTATGTGATTAAGTATTTAATTTCTTGTATTTCACTTGATGATGATTTTCTATGTAATGGCAGCCACGTACCAAGCTGAAACAAGTGTGTGGCTATTACCTTTATTACTCTTCCATCTCTTTCTCTCTTATTTCTTGCTATAAAACCCTACCAAAGATTCTCTTGCTACACGACTCTTCTTGGTTTTCCCTTGATCCTAAATCTTTGTAAAAACCCTAAAACTCAATGCATTAAAATCTTTCTTAATCTATCCCCACCAATGTTGCTTCTAGGATGATGTTAACAATGAGTACCATCGAAATAGACTAGTGATTGTATATTGTTTTTTTACTATACTGAAAGGGAGGAAAACAACAAAATCTTTGCATTCTAACTCTTTGGAGTCGGTGTATGAATCCTCTTTCTCCATTCAGCTACTAAGTACCATTTTTTCAGTTAAACAAGCAGCATAAGAAATGAGGATATCTATCGTATTCGCCTAAAAGGTATTAACATGTGAACATTTTTTTCTACTCAGGCCTTTGCATTTAAAATGAGTAGAATATACTTAGAAGTTTCAATATTCTAACTTGGAAATGAAACTGGAGGAGCACACATAGTTACTTCAAACCTAAATTCGGATCCAATTTATTAGACTTTTCCATATAGAAGTACTGTCTTATGTATTGATTTCCATCAAAGGTCATATAATCATGCATATAAATAACTTCTTTAAGTAATTGAGTTTACTCAGTAAAGTGAAATGGAGAGATTGAAGTTGTACCAATAAATTTAAGGAAAATGCTTCTCCCTTCTCAGATATCGATGGTCCAACAAGTGCTTCAAGTAAGATTAAACCAAAAGAATAAACATCATCTTCCAAATTTACAGTCTCCCTGCAAAGAAGTTAACAGATTAAATAATAATAATAATAATAACTAACTACATTGTATTTCAAATGATAAAACTACCGAAATGATGGTCACTCCCAGTTTTAATATACCGAACTAAGAAGAAAACTTTAGTTAATTAGGATTTCAAGTACTTACAGTGTTGAATTTTTCCTTTGGACAGTTTTTTGACCTTCAGCTTTTGCCTAGAAATAAACAAAATATCATAAAATACTGCAGCTTTACAATAGCATTTTAATGAAGTAAATAATGTTAAGAAACAAAAGCAAAGACTCCACTACTGACCTCGTGTCTGTAGATCTCTTCAGAAATAATTGACAGCCCATAATCACTCACTTTTGCTATACAGTGTTCATCAACCAAGATATTATTGGTTCTCAATCGATTATTGAAGAAACCAGGAATAATTCCTGTATGTAGGAAATGTACTGCTTTCGCTATGCCAATTAGAACTCCCAGCCTATCAGACCACTTAAGAACTTTCTGTGAACTGTAATCTGCAGAAGATAAGTTGTTCATAGGAAAATGTATTGAAGTTTTGGGTTTTTTTGTATATATTCCCCTTAAATCATGTGTATTAGCATAACTACCCTCAAATTTTCAGTATTTGGAAAACTACTCCCACAGATATCTTTGAAAATTACCCCCAAACCAAAAAAAAATATATATACATACTTTGAAAGGCTAATTTGTAACTGCATTGTAGAGATATCAACAAATAGTCAAATTTTACTCACCAACAAAGTTGTTAGTTGTTGATTTGGGGTATTAGTACCGAGATTTGTAACTAGAGTAGTCTGCAGGTAGACATGACTTAAGGGTATATATATATATATATATAAAAAAGAAGAAGACAACTTGTACACATAATAAGCTTGAAGATGCTTACCAGATAAATGAGCTCGGAGATTTCCATTAGAGACATATTCATAGACGAGAAACACCATGTTGACACTAGAATCTTCTAGTGAAGCATCAACACAGTGGCCCAGGAGACAAACAAGGTTTGGATGACGAAGCTTTGATAGCAAATCCAACCGAAGCTTTAGATTTCTGATGGAGTATCTCTTAGACAATGCCAAACATCTTATAGCAACAAAAGTCCCATTATCTAATCTTCCCTTGTAGAGCTGGAAGATATATAAGATGTCAAATACCTGAATAAAACTTGAGCAGACCTATTAAGAAAAGCAGAAAGCAGATAAACATGTTCTGCACCCTACAAATGGAATTCTACTATTAGGATACTGGTTTCATTCGGTTCACATCTCAACAGCATATAATTATGTCGGATGTTAAATCGAACATAAATTTTGTTAATGAAATTGCATTAAATGCAATCACATAAGTAAAGTTGGAGATTTGTGTCAACTGAATTTCATTTACATGTCACTTTTATACTACATCAGTCATTAATTAATTGAAGGATAAATTTCACAAAAGCACACAATAAGTTCGGATGTTGTCACTTATCCCCCAAAAAGTTTCACTTAACCCCCCAATAAGTTTAGAAAATCCAGAAAAACCAACCTTAATATTTTAATTTCTTTTCACTTAACCCCAATGGCAGCATTACCAAAATGTTTTAATTTCTTTTCACTTAACCCCCATGATGGTGTTACCAAAATCTTTTTATATTTTTCACACAGCACCTATGGTCTACGTTGCACAAGTATGGGTGCGGGTGAAGACACGGATGCGGATATGGGACACGGGCAAATTTGTGAAAGATGATATACATATACATATTGAAATTAATATTTTACATAAATTTGATATTGTTTTTTCATTCACAAGCCATAAGAACTATATCCTACAAAACATTTTTATCTTTCTTTTATTTGAGTAGATTAAAAATGAAAAAATAGCTCTTTTTTGAACTAGATACCCAAACGATTCTTTAATATCATACTTATGAACTGGGTATGGCTGAAATGAACCCGATCCAAGTCCAATGAGTTGGAGAATCTTGAGGTGAAGTGTAAGATATACATCCAAGAAGTGTATCACGAGTGTTTTAAATTAAAAAATATATTATATAATTGAGCACATGTCTGAATAAATGTGTGTGTGCGCGTGTATTTCAAGAAGTGTCTAAAGAGTGTCAAACACGGACGGATACGGGAGCCTAGATGAAGTATTTGGGTAACCCAACACATGGTTTACATCAATTTACATAAAATAGTTGTTATGACAAATCCCTAGTAATAAACTAATATCTATCATATGAGACTGCAATAAAAGTATCGTGAACACAAATAACACATAGATACATAGTTCGGCTCGTAGCCTACATCCACGAGCGAAGAACAAGAATAGTTTACTAGATTGTGTGGAATACAATTTGGAGATCTCTTAATCATTCAATCCTAAATCACACCCCAGAAAGTACTTAATCTCTCTAACAAATCTCTACTACCTATAAAGTCAACCAAATAGAGAACTAAATCAAGAACCTTTTAAATCTAGTGCTTCAACCTATAGAGTCCATCTCAATGATTACTATAGCCGTTGGGTGGATCGAATACAATCTCTAAGGCATAGAAAAACACAATAGAAAGTCAATTACCTGCAGTTGTAACGTTGGGTGAATTCTCATCAAAGAGATTTTTGCCATACTTATAGCAACTAAGGATAAGAGTTGTTGCTAGCCACAAATTCTACAATATAAGAATCTTAATCTCAATAGAATAAATAAACTCTTTTGTCTTTATCTTAATACTAGGTATAGCTAATACTAGGCATAGCTAATAGAAACTCTAATTGGATTGCATATCCTATTCAATGATTAAGATTTGAATTACCCATAACAATAGTCATGCACCGGTGTGTGGTAGAAAGGTGTCTAGTATCTGGTTATATTAATAATTCCATGAATTAAGAGCTATTTATACGTCTAATGTAAACTACGATAAAAATCAATAGTTAAGCATTATTTGACAGTAGTTGTAGAACAGGAAATCTCTTGGCAAATCTCTTGCTTGGAGCTTTACAATAGTGGATACCGTCGATTTGATAATATAAGTTAATTAGGGTGCATCATGAACAAAAGTCAGTCCTGGGATTCTCAAGATAGGATACAAATAAAGTTACGTGAAGCAATAGTTTATGGCCATAGAAATATGCAATAGATTCAGTCAACTAGAAGCTATATGAAGCAAATTACATCAAAATAGCAGCCGTGTCTGTGTCTTGGCAGCAAAAATAAATATGTGAAAACTTTTAAGAACTTATAGAGACCTGAAAACAAATGCATGAGGCAATAGTTAAGTTTTTTAAGTAGTAAACATCAGAATATTAGTCACTTGTAGCAGCGTCCACATGTCCCTGAAAGTGTAAGTAGCATGCTTCCAGGTTATTTGAAAGAAAATATAGATGTTAAATAAGCATTAGGTACACACCTTTCCGATTGATCCCTCACCAACGTATGATGCCCTTTCAAAATTTCTTGTTGCTTCTTTTAGTTCTTCCAGGGAAAATACTCGGTGTGTAGGCAAAACTTGTGTCCCTAACTTTGCAGCTTGAGAAATGTACCCTGCAAACAGACAGGTACAAGCTATGTTGAGTAGATCTCAGCAATCAACTTGGTAAAACTGTCTTTTAAAAAGTATTCAAAGTTGAAAATTAGGTAGTGTTTTACGTTATCATAGAAGTTTTTACGTTCGATATGTGCCTCTTGAGACATCTAAGCAAATGCCTATAGGCAGAACGAAGTGTAATGTTTAATGCATCTAAGAACAAATCTACAAAGAAGAAGGGGAGAACAAGGAGGTGCAAAGTATCAAATTAATTAAGATCTCTTTCTGATTTCTCGATTGAATATAGGAATAGCACTGTTACTTTTAAGCTGATATCTTTTGAAGTAACAGATTAGCTACTATCTGAGTGATAAACATCAAAACTCTGTCAGGCACTTGCCTCCTTGCAAAGTCCACTCCTTACATTACATTATAAAAATTGTAAATTTATTGTGCGTCAAGTTTTAGGAAAATATTAAGGCATTGTCAACTAAATTAACAACTGGAGTGCAGTATTTATGTCTTTAAAGGCATGTATAGCATAATGCAAGTTTAACAAGTGAAAAAGGGCAAGTCTCGAGAAGTAAAATACATACTAGCACTCGCAAGAATCTCAGACGAAAATCCTGAAGCCGAGTTATCTGGCAACAGTTTTGGAAGCAAACGTTGTTCTCCAATTGCTCGCTTACAGTTTTTTCTACAAAATATCACAAACACAAGCAAAACCAACATACATATAACAGCAATCCCTCCAATAACAGCAATCATCAATCCTATATCTCTGATCTTGGAACTTTTCCCCTGCATGCAATATGTAGAATCATGTTGATACTGGAGATCTATATTCAAACAATTCCCACCAAATTTCACGACTCTCTTATTCAAACTAGAGCTCAAGCATGATGGCAAATCACCACTAAGTCTATTGGTAGAAACATCGACAAACCCAAGTTGAGAACTGCAAGTTATACTACTTGGAAGAGAACCACTGAGCATATTGGATTCCAGGTTCACATAACTAATGTTTGGCAATGAAAATACTGCCACCGGTGGAGTTCCTTCCAATAAATTGAAAGATAGATCAAGATGCTGAAGTCGCTCCAATTCACCAAATTCCTCAGGAATCTCCCCACTCAGCGAGTTCTTACTGAGTAAAATTGTGACCAAACTCTTAGGCATATCGGGTATTTCAGAATCTAGTTCATTATCTCTTATATCCAAAACCTCAAGGTTGGTTAAGCTACTAAGATCAGGGATTTTACCTGAAATGTGATTTCCAGAAATGGAAAGATCAGTAAGGGCATTTACCTTGCCAATTGATGTGGGCAATGGCCCATTCAATTGATTCCTCTGCAAGCTCAAAACAGTGAGATTCAACAACAAATTGAACCAATCAGGAACTGTTTCATTGAAATAGTTTCCATCCAAAGTAAGTGTTTCTAGCCTTTTCATGACAGATATCTTTGGGGGAATTGAACCATAAAGAAAATTCGAACTTAAATCGAGCACTTCAAGAGAATTCAACCTGTGAATCTTATCAGGGAGAGGACCCCATACCCCCAAAGAAACCAAGATAACTACTCTCAAGCTAGTTAACCTCGTCAGAGTCGTGATGAACGAATCTACAGAAAAATCTCGCGACAATGTGTGATCTTGGACTGAGTAGCCTTCAAATTTACCAGGTTTAGCAATCTTATCACCCACAATTTTGAGCTCGGTAACGGAATTTCCTTCGCAGGTGATCATTAGAAATGGTGAGGTGGGAGCGGAGCAAAAGTCTAAATGGGTGTCGTTCCAGGCTTCCAATTGTCTTGGGTACTCTAATTGCTTCCTTATCTGAAACAAAACTTGTGTTTCTGATAATGTTAACTGTTGGGTGCTTTGAATTAGGAGAAGGCAACTTATAACGAACGCAAGAACTGCGATAGATTGCGACATCGAAGAGAAGTAGAGAACGAGTCCACTCAAATCCTTCAACCTCTCTAGTTGGGTTTCTCTACTATAAGCAAATGAAGCAGAAACACTAGCCAGAACTCAAAATTCACAAGTGCCCACAAAATCTCCTTGCTTTTTCACCACATGAGCAGAACTCTGAAGCCAAATCAACAAACCCATCAAGCAAACGCAGTAAAAATGACAAGAAAAGAGCAAGCTTTAAAGAAAACGGTCAAGTTTAAGGAAATGCAAAAGAATTACCAGAAAAAATGATGAATTAACTCCTGAGACCAGATGAACTCCTATGATTTTAAGCGAAGATGGAAGAAACCCAACAGCAGAAAATCAATGAGACGTTTAAAAAAAAAAGCACAACTTTCCAAGAGTTTTGAAAGAAACCCCACATGGGGAAAAAAAACTGAGAGTGGAAAATTACATGAAAAGGACAAGTTTACCACTTGACGACGGAGTAACTCCTCCCGTGGTTTTAAGCAAGATAGAGGATGGCGACATGAAAAGCAACAAAATTGAAAGAAAACCCAGAAAGAAAAAGAGAAAAGGACCGCAAAGAAACGCAGAGATCTGCTCCAAATTAAAGGGTTTGAGCCGCTGAGGAACGAGAGTCCGTGAAAATTCTGAGGAAAAATGGGAAGAAATTTTAGCGGATGGGCTTTGATTGGGGGAGTTATAGAAGGCATTCAAAGCTTGCACATGGAAGGCGACTGTGTCAGCTCCCCTCTACGTTGCCATTAATGGAGGCTCCGGGGATGAGATCATGAGACGGGGAGAAAGCTCCACAAGCATCGTCCGAATATTTGATTTGGCTAAAATGCCCTTCGCGTTTGAATTAACTACGGTTATGGCACTGTGTTGCTTTCTTTCTTCCCCCTCATCTTTTGACTTGGAATGAAATGACGAGAATAGCCTGGATGGTAAAGTTAAAAGGGGAAAGTTGGCTGAGTTGTTTCGGTTCTTATCGGCCTTTAGAACTTTGGAAACTGTGCCGTACACATGGAATGTCCCTGTCACGTGTTTTTTTTGTTACTTTTCATGGTACAATTAGCATGCATGTAGCTCAGCTCTTAGGGCCTGTTTGGATGGAGGGCAGAGAGGAGGAAGGGAAGGGAAATTTCATTTTAACCTTGTTTGGGAGTTTCATTTTGGAGGGTAGAGGAGGGGAATGGAGGGGAAATTTGGCCCAAATTCTTACACCCCAAATTGGGGTGTAATGGAGGGGAAGGGAAGGAAGGGGAAAAATTCCCCTTCCTTCCCCTTCCTTCCCCTTCCTTCCCTTCCCTAAGTAAACTCCCAAACACACCATTACATAAACCAAGATTAACTATTCCAAGATTAACTACTATCATGAGCCAAATCTTGGAAGTTGGGATTCTTTAAGGGGGTGTTTGTTTGTTTTTTGTTTTTTGGATATAAGGTGGATTTCAAGTTTTGGGATGTAAAAAGTGCTCTTTTTTAGTTTTGAGATTCCATAAACTTTGTTTGTTTCAAAATTAATTTTGGGATATTGAATCCCTAAATTATAAACAAATAATATATTTTTAGGATTTGTGAAATCCTCTCTTTTGTTTCAACTTTTTTTTGGGATATAAGGTGGTTTGTGAAATCCTCTCTTTTGTTTCAACTTTTTTTTGGGATATAAGGTGGATTACAAGTTTTTTGGGTTTCAGAATTCCATAAACAATGTTTCTTTCAAAACCAATTTTGGGATATTGAATCCCCAAATAATAAAAAACTATTATATTTTAGAATTTGTGAAATCCTACAATTGAGAGAGGATGTAGGTTGGATATTGATGTATTAATGCTTATAATATAAGATTAATACATCTATTCCTCTATAATTATAGGAGGACCCAAGAATCACTGTTCATGCTTTAGTAAATGCTGCAGTAAATTACTGTAGCATTATATATATATATATAATATATTATATTATATAATAAATAATATATATATATATTACATATAATATTATATATGTATATATATTATATATAATATTATATATATATATTATATAATATATATTATATATATTATATTATATATTATATAAAGTATTAATATAATATTTAATATTATATATATATATATTATATAATATATATACTATATCTATAATATATATATTATGTATTATATATCACTGTTCATGCTGCAGTAAATGCT